GTGGCTTCAGATGAGGCAGAAACTGTGCTGTCAAGTTGCTAAGCCTGCTTCTCCTCTGCTCCTTTGAGAACCATCAAGTTGAGAAACACAACTACGTGGGAAGAGGGAGCATGCACGCCCTGGGCCTCCCTTTCAATAAAACACATTCTTCCCACTACTCTTATCCATACCCAATGCATCCAGCCACTTGGGTGGACAAACTCGCCACAGAGGGCAACTGGGGATAGGACACTCCTTCCAGAAGCTCCTGGCCAAAGCAGCGCAAGAAAATTTTCTGTGCTCCTAGTGGAGGAGGGAGCCCAAATCGAGCCCCACAAAGGGTGGGCCTTGAGCTGAAAAGGACCCAACTACACAACCACAACCACACCAGTCAGGAAGTCAGGGAGGGTCAGAGGAAGGTGGTGTCCAGCATCTCTTAATAGGAACCTGGCAGAGCAAAGAAAACATTCAGCTTCATTCCTCCCAACACTCATGTCTGTCACTTTCCTTCCATTCTAAAAGAAAGACACATTTGAAGCAAACAAGCCAGCAAACCATGCCTAAGAGCCATATCATCTCAGATTCACATTTCCCAACAGGCTTTCTAGTTCTCCACAAATAATATCCTCCCGCACTCTGCTCCCAGCTCTAATAATTGGGGGAGGGGGTGAGCCATGTCTAGAGAGACTGGAGACATTCGATCAGAATTCAAGGCAGCTTCTCACAACTCTCTTGTTTATAGAAAATGAATGTCTGCCTGGCTTGCTTTTAGTTCTGGAAAGGGGTCAGTCTTTATCAGTACGGTTCACACAGATCCTGGATTTTTTTTCCCTTATCTTAAATTGACCCGCTTTTAAGATAAAGACATAATAGAGAAAGCATTGACCTTACCTGGTCCCTAATGAGTTGGAAGTCAGAAAACCCCGCTCTCATTTCCTCTTATCTCCAGTCGCCTGAGAAGAGACTCGCGCTACCTTTTGTGCACTCGCGCCTGGAGATAGCCCCTCACCGACGCGCATACGCCGGCGAGCGCGCTCGGAGAAGTGTGTGGCCTCAGTATGAGAATTCCTCCCTGGGGTCTCAAAACCCGAGACCTTGATGCTAGCCCCAGGCCTGCCCCTGACCCAGGAGGATTTAAAATCCTCGGAAGGCTCCCGAGCAAGTCTTCCCTTTTGTAAGGCCAAGTCCTAAACAGCGGGAAGGAGACCTGCCTCCTGCGAGGCCCTTGGACTGGAGCGCGCGGGGCCTCCTCCGCCTCCAGGAGTAAGTGCCCCGACCGTTTCTCGCGCGGTCGCCTCGGGCCTGAGTCTGATTTCACTCGAGGGCCCCAAGCTGCCTCCCTCAGGGCCAGCCCCTATCCCAGAGACCCTGCCCGGCTGCTGAGCATTCCCTGCCCCCACCCACCTCTAGGCCTTGACAACTCCAGCTGTACCCACAAGTGTCTCTGTTGGGGGGGGGGGGCGGCAGCCGGGTCGGTCTCCCTTCTCCCCTGCTCAGAGCATCTCTGGCCGGCTCTTCTCGCCTTTCCAGAACCCAGTCCAGTCCCCAGCCTGGCCGACTGAGAGGGCTGCTTTCCTCCCTCTCCGACCCACAGCTCCAAGTTCCCAGGCTGGGGAGGGGGTGGTGTGCCGCTTTGGGATGCTAAACATCAAACAAGCCAAGCCTGGGGTTTCAGGCCCCAAGCCACTAGAGCCCTACTCCAGGGCTCTCGAGAAAGTCCCCGTGTTTACTTGGCAGGGTGGGGTGGGGGAGAGGAGGTATGCGGGATGCTGTCTGCAAGATCTCCCCCACTCTCCTCACCCGTCAGGGTTTAGGGATGGGTGGGGTGCATAGGCGGGGGCGCTCAGCTTCTCTGGGATCTTGGGGCGAACTGCGCTGCCCCCCTACGTGGGGAAGCTTCCGGCTCTTCCAGCATTCAGGGCCAGGGACATCCCCAGAAGGCTGATTTCTCCGGGCCAGAACCTGGGCCAGAGATGCTGGAGACCGAGGGGAGGTCTACTTCAGGAGTAGATGACGACAGGCGTCGCAGAGGCTCTTCGAGATGTGGGCTGGAGAATGTCCCCAGGCTGGGGTCTTTAGCTGCGCCCAGCGCGCACACGTTTCCCTATCAAAAAAGCTTCAGCTTGCGTTCCACGGCTGCTTCCTGAAGTTACTACACTCTCCCGGCCAGAGCGTGATGGATGGAGAGAAGCAGCCAAGCCTCTATTTGTCTCGGTCCCATCCACAGACCCGGCTGAAATCACCTCCTTCCCCCACCCCACCCCCGAACAAGTAAACAGACTTCAAACTAAGCCGACCCTAGACGGCAGGGAGAAGAATGTATTTGAGAAAATTCCATCCAGTGTAAGGGTGATAAGGCCGAGGGTACCACAACCCACTAAAAATTGTGACTCTCAGGCGCCCGCTCCCGGCTAGGAGTTGGGGGAGCAGCCGTCCTTGCCAGTGTCCTGCCGCGAGCCCCACCTGCTTCCCCTCCCCCGCCCCTGGGGCTTGTGCTGGGCCTGGGGCAGGTTGAGCGGAATCTCCCTTCCCCCATGGAATTGGGACCTTAGAGCAAACATCTCCCTGGCAAAGACCCGGCCCGAGCTGTGATTCGACCACCTATGCACCCTGTCCCGGGACCACTGCTGCTCTTTCCAACACAAGTGTTCAAACTTTACTGATTTTTGCTTGTTTACCAAAATGTGAGGCCTGCTGGGATTTTCCCCAACCAGCACACTCTGTAAACCCAACCAACCATCCTCGGATTCTCCAGTCTCTTCTGGATATTGGAAACCATATCTCAGCAGCCAGACCCAGGGGAGGAAGCTCACCCTGGCCCCCAGTCCTAAGGCATTCGGGGAGAGGAGCCCCCAGGAAGTTAACAAAGAATACTGCTGGTCATGGAGCAAGGCCTTGGTCTATGCAATTTCCTGCACAAGTGGGGTATGGGAAAAGTCCGGTGAAAAGAGAGATGGAGACAGAATGAGATGAAAAGAAGAGAGGAAGAAAAGATGAAGAGAGGGAAGAAAGGAAAAAGAAAGATGGAATTCTGGGCATGAAATGAGTACATGCCAAGTATGAACCCCCACAAACACTTTCAGGCTAATAGGAGCTCGCCCGGCCACTTTTGTTGGGTAGGTTTATCAAGGGTGACACTGAAATCGGCAATAGCCCATCTAGGGACTATGATTTCTCTCTGTCCACAGCCACTCCTTCCTCCTCCCCTCCTCAGGGCAACCTAAGAGTTCCCCAACAACCACATCTGGGTACCAAAGAGACCAGGAAATTAGAAGGAGGGAGAAAGGTCAAAGATGATTATTTTGCTTGGGTGGTGGTGACAGGGGGTGGGCAGCGAGAAGTAGAGAGTTGGAGACAGGAAAAAGATTCCTTACTACAAAGATATTCCAGAGATGGAAACCGGTGGAACAAAGAGGGAAAGCCCAGCTTCCAAAGTCCTGCCTTTGGTGTAGCCCAGTCAGAAACCTCCCAAGACCAGAAAGACCCTGAGAGGCTTGGGATCCATGTCTAACCCTGCATGGGGGATAGCTGTTTTAGAACAGAACAGAGACCCAGATAGACTTTCCCACTTGTGAAAATAGTCTTCCCCTGAATTCCAATTCTGACGAGGCTCTACAGCAGATTAGAAACAAGGATTGGTGTTGAAATCTACAGGGACCATTCGTTCAGTAAAAATGATCCCTCATTCAGATTATTTAAAATGCATGTTATTTAAACATTTTAAAGTTTTAAACGTTGCCTTAGCTGTATAAGACCACAGTAGACACTTCTGAGGTTTCAAAAAAAACCCAAAAAACAAAAAAACAGAAGCCTGGTGCTGAAAACTAGTCCTTTGGTCTCTTTCTCTTCCTTTCACCCTTTCCCTCCTGAGGGAAGTATTTAGTTTTTTTCCTTTTGGTTGTCGAGTCCCAGGACTGCTCAAGGTTTGGTTCTACTCAATCTGGAGACAGAACAAAACTCCGTTTCCCTGTGGGACAAGGACTCTGGGCCCAGCTCTTTAGCTGGTTTAGTATCCTTTCAGCCCCCAAACAATTCCAACCCCATCAGGCCAATGATGAGCTGACCCCACCACCATCACCAAAAAAAAAAAGCCTTTTAAAGCCAAATTAAAACCAAACAAAAGGTGGACTTTTAATCAGAAAAAGAATCTTTTTAATTTGTATAATTTATTAGAAGCTTCTTAGGAACTATATTTAAGCCAAATATCTACATAAGTTACAACAGAAAAAGACTGACGCTGCAAATACCAAACTGCCAAATAATATACACAGATTTGTCAATGCCCATAAAAAATATGATGGGCTGGGGACAGGGGTTGGTTTTGTTTTTGTTTTTGTTTTTTACAACAAAATGTACAGATTACTAAAAACTAGGCATGTAGTCCAACTTTTGACAGCGTTTTACAGCTACAAGTTCACATCAAACATAAAACAATTTTAGCCAGGGCTTTTCCCCCCGGGGCTGAGCCTGGGCGGCCAGAGGGCGCTGGGAGGGGGCATTTCCTTTGTGTCAATGACAAGTGGGTCCTGTCGAAGAGTCTTTCCTCTCCCCAGCCCCCATCATCCCTTCAAAAGAAATCCGGGTATTTACAAGCGAGTCCGCCTTGCTGGCACAGTGTACCCAGAGTGAAGTTTGCGATCTTTAGAGTCCAGAGCCAGTCATCGTAGAGCCCTCTCCAAACTGCACCCTGCCTGAGCAAGTGAAACCATTTCAATCACCAAAAAGACACCCCAAAAGCTGTTCTTGTTATGTCCTTCTCTTTTTAAAGACTCCTTAAAGAATTGGATTCACTTGGATGTTTTTATTTTCTTTTTTAAAAAAAATCCCACAAATTTTAGAAAAAAAAAAAAAAAAAGACGTCCAGCAGTTTGGCTTTTGTGTTTTTTTCCCCTCGGTCTAAACGGGACAGATTATTAAGAAAAGTCGAAGCGCAGGGAGCGGCGGGTAGTTGGTGATTGTGTGACCGGCAGGAGGGGAAGCGATGAGGCAGCGCGCTGGGCCCGGCCTGGCCCGGTGTCCTCTCACCAGGTCCGACCATATAGCAAGGTGGAGCAAGACATGGTGCCATAGTCCGAGCCCGAGGAGTTCAGGTGGGACAGGCTGGAGACCTGGCCCTGAAGCGCCGCGGGGCTGGCGGCGTGGTGTGCCAGGTCCGGAGACTGGCCTGCGCTGCCCGGCTGGTGGCCCGGGTGTGCCCCCAGGCCAGGGCCACCGCTGCCCACTGAGATAGCCGCCGCGGCCGCCTGAGCAGCCTGCGCCTGCTGCTGCGCCTGCTGTTGCGCGTGGCCTTGAAGGCTGCCGGCACCAGGCGCGGGGGCTCCTGCCTGGCAGGGTTTGCCGTCTTTCACCAGGACCGGCACTGCCACGCGGCGCGGCGACTGCTGCTGCGCTTGCTGCTGCTGCGGGCACCCGGCGCCCCCGCCGCCGCCGCCGCTGTCCTGCTGTAGTTGCTGCTGTGCTGCCTTGTCCTTGGCTTGGCGCTTCATCTTGTAGCGGTGGTTCTGGAACCAGATCTTGACCTGCGTGGGTGTCAGGTGGATCATGCTGGCCAGATGCTCCCGCTCGGGCGCCGACAGGTACTTCTGTTGCTTGAAGCGTCGCTCCAGCTCGTACACCTGAGCCTGGGAGAAGAGCACCCGGCGCTTCCGGCGTGGTGCGCTTGGCAGCGGGGCCATGTTCTTGCTCACGTCCCCCAGCGAGCCCAGGCCGCCCATGCCGCTCATGTTCATGCCGCTCGCCGGGCCCATGAAGCGGGTGACTGTAGGCGACAAACGCACAGCGTCGGCGGGGACCGGGCCGGGCCAGGCCACCTCTGCCTTCCGCGGCCTTGGCCGGCCCTGCCCACCCCGACGGCTCCCTCCTCACCTAAGCTGCCTCCGCCCTGAGAGGCCTAGGTGTCAAGGATGGCTAGCGCCTGCCCCAGGCCTTGCCGTCGAGGGATTTACTGGAAAGCTCCCCACCTCAACCCCGGTTGCCTCCCCACTCTCAGTGCTCCAGCCCAAAAGCAAAGTGGAGAAAGGCCGCTTCCGTTCCTTTCGTGCCCATCCCCGGCCAGAGTCGTGGGGTTATCGGGGCACAGGCGGTGAACTGGGCCCACACCAAAAGCTGGGGTCCCACGGTAGACCCCAACTTTGGGAGCTTAGGAGAGTGGAGTCTTCACTTTCGAAAGCTGGAGCCCCAGACGCTTTGCCTCTTGGCCGCTCTCTCTCCTGTCAGCCCCAGTGAGGGCACTTGCTCGTTCCATTTACAGCCCCCTCTGGAGCCACGCGCGCCCTTCCACCTGCCTAGACTGGAGAGCCAGCCGGGCCGGACGCCTGAGCGCGTCGCAGTAGGGCAGCCTCCGGCCCGGCCAGGCCGCGCCTCTCTGCTCCCTGCTTGCCCCCAGCTCCCTTAGGGGTTTTTTTGG